GGGGACCACCTGTCCCGGATGCAGTGTTTGGCCATCCCAGTGACAGACGCACTGGCTCGAATTCACACATCGTCCCTGTTGAAGGTACAGCCCGTAGGGACAACGACAGCCTGGAGAAAGACATCATTCATGCCTTAATCACTGTGTCAGCTACATTTGGATAAATCTTGCACAATAACACATAATTAATGTTCAGAACCTCTGTGCTCAAAGGCTAAAAGACTGAAATTTCTTTGCACACTGTGCAAAGACAACGCTGGCCTCGAGGCAAATCTACTGTGCATCCTACCTGAAATGCACTCAGCAGTGCAGTTTCTGTCCAGGCTGAGATGTGAGCAAGTAGGAGGACAGGGATCGACTCTCCCGGCCTGACAGTCTTCCTCTGTTACCACCACCATGCCACGGACACAACCTGTCATTTAAATAACAGTGCAGACATTTCAAATGCTTTTATTGTTTCAAGCAGGTGATCAGAACCATCAGGTCATTTCAGGCTGGTTGCATCTCAATGACCTGTCTGTGTGTCCGTGTCTTTGGTGCAGGGCTGGCTGTTGCAGCTCTGGCTCTGCCTGGTCATCCCCTCGCAGTCCCGTCCACCGTTCTTAGGGGGCGGCGCCGAGCAGGTCCGGTTCCTCTGCCTGACTCCTCCTCCACAGCGGGCGTCACATTCTGACCACTCTGTCCACTCTGACCAGTGACCATTAACTACAACAGGAGAAAGGCTGCCGTTGCATTAACTATTACTGGATAATAGGCAAGCACGCATCTCATTATGGAGGTCGAAGGCAGACCTGGACACGCTTGAGGAAAGCAGGCTCGACTGTCAAATGGATCCCCGCTACAAGCTCCTCCGGGCAGAGCTTCCCTTAACATGTCCCTCTGCCGGAACAAGGAGCCAAGACCACATGACACACTGCAGGCGCTCCACGCTGTCCACGGGGACATGACGCAGTCCACTGGAAGAAAGGAGACCAGAGGGAACCTTAAAAATATTCACTGTTGGGTCACATCACCACTGTAAGGTGCACGTGTGGCCTACCACAGTCTTTTTCATCAGATCCATCTACGCAGTCCTTCTGCAGATCACACCTGCGGTCCAGGTGAACACACTCCCCACTGTCACAGGAGAACTGCTTGGGAGAGCACGGGCTGGGCACCGTGGGCCGCTGCGGGGTCACCGCCGGCCTGGCTGTGGTGCCTGACACAGTCGATAAAAATGAAAAACATTTAGTGAATGTGGATGTATAACTCCTCCAACTCTACATCCACGGTGTTTGTAAAGTTACTCATGCGCACCACAGTGCTGCTCGTCTGACCCGTCCAAACAGTGCCGTATCCCATCGCACACTTGTGCTGAGTCGACACAACCAAACGATCCGCACGCAAACTGGCCCTGCACGCAAATCACTCTGGGTGAGCCGGTATCACGCGGGCTGGTGGTGATCACTGGGGCTGGCAGTCAGTAGAACACAGAGGTTACAGTCTCTTGTAAAGAGACGCGGTTTTAGCATAAATGCTAACAGCATAGCTTCCAACCTTTTGTGGATCGAAGACCGGGCGTACCGGAGTCGAACCGCGTGCTGAGATGCAGCCCAGGATGACCTGCAGTGACCTCTGAGGTTAAATGTAGTTCAAGTTCAAATTTATTTATATAGATATAAAAACAACAAGTTTTGACCAAAGTACTGTACAATAAAATGGACAAAGCAGAAGACATAAAAGAAAAATAGAAGAGTGCTTTAGAAGAGAATAAAAAGAATAATAGTAACAAACTCATGATGAAGCAAAAGCCAGAGAATAAAAATGGGTCTTTAGACGGATTTTAAAAGTATCCCGTGTTGGGGAGGATCTGATATGCAATGGCAATGTCACGGCAAACGCCCGGTCTCCTCTGTGTTCTAGTCTGGACCTTGGGACAACCAGAAGCATTTGGTCTGCAGACCTCAAGGATCTTGGGGGAGAATACGAGGTTAGGAGATCAGCTAGTTCATGCAATGTCTTAAAAACAAGCGTTAAGATCTTAAAATCAATTCGAAAGCTGAATTTGGAAAAGATTTAATTCTCGATTCCTCTCACTTCTCTCCTACATTACCTGCAGGAGCTCATCCACTGCTGCATCATCGGTCACACAGCAGCACATGTAGACTCGCACTTACCAGCAGTTGTGATCTTCTGCGATCGAGTAGGTTCTGTGACTCCTGATGTTGGCACTCCAGGAAATCCGCCCTGAGACCTGGTGGTATGTAGGCCTGGGGCACCTGTTGTGTGGTCACCATGGATACCTGGTCTCCCTGTAGAGCTGGTCTGGTTTTGCAGACCTGGAAAGCCTCTTGTTGGAGCTGTACCTAAAAACGATGAAGAAAATAAAACCACATGAGCTAAACTGACAATGAGAAATGAGAAAGTGAAAGTGAGCGTGGGTGCAGGAAGGGCCTTCACTGTTTTTTGTTTACTGCTGACTTTTGAAAGCTAAAGAGAGCAGAAAATCAAAGCTGTCCGTACCACAGCCGATCTCATCAGAATGATCCTTGCAGTCTGGTCGACCATCACAGAGCAAAGACACAGAGATGCACTCGTCACTGTGCTGGCAGAAAAACTGACCAGGTTCACAGCGCTGCACTGTCACTTTCCCACCACCAGAGGGAGATGTTGTCACACTGCTGGGGGTCACCAGCTCATCTGCAAAAGCAGAAGAAGAGAAACAGTATAACCTGGTAAGAGAAGGTTGTACAGCCAACATTAGGAATAATTATCATAATTTGGTTTATGTCCTGACCTCCTCGGCAGCCGAGGATCTCCACGCGCAGGTAAAACGTGTGCCTGTACTCTGCAGGCATGATGCGCACGTAGCGAGCTCTGACCAGCCGACCGAGCCAGCGGGTCACGGGGGTCCTGCCCACCATCCGTACCTCAAACACCTGCACAGCAACAGAGAAGACACTTTACATATAAAAATATGTAATCATGCAGCTGTGGCTACAACCGTAGCTGCCTCCAACCAGTGTGTGAATGCGAGAGTGAATGAATAGTGGTATTGTAAAGCGCTTTGGGTGCCTTGAAAAGCACTATATAAATCCAATCCATTATTATTATTATTACAGTGCTGAAATTATAATTAATGGTACTGTTTAAATGTGTTAAGTATACCTTAGCGGGGCCATCGGGCTTCCCATTCTCAGTAAAGTCTGTGAAAAGGCTGCTGTGCAGGGCAAACGCCAGGCGGTATTTGGTGAGGTAACCCCACATTCGCTCAGTGCCCTGTGTCACCACGCCTGACACCCACATGGGCTCCAAGAAATCCACCTGAAAATACGGCTGAGGGTCTGTAGGTAACGGGCTCCAACCGGGCTCCATCACCTGGCTGTGAGCACAAAAGATGGTATGACACGGAGATGACCTCTCTTTTGTCATCTCCCCTTCAAGCGTTAACAAGAACTTGAAAGTTTACTTAAGACCCAATGTGCTAACACTGAAAGACAGAAGTTTGATCTGTTTCAGGCTTGACAAGCGTCTCACATGTTTGGGACTATATTCAGCCGCCCGGCATCGGCAGGGTTGTTCTCCCGATGGGAGGACGAGGTGAGCTGACCGTAATGGATTCTCCCATCCTCCAGTCCAAGCGGAGAGGAGCAGATACCTGTGATTGTGATAAAACCACGACAGACCCAGTGATGTTTGCATGCTTTGCAGCATCTTTATTAACGGTTGCTGTACACTTAAACACCTCGGCTGCAGCTCACATACCAGCAACAACCAATGACAACAGCGCAGCCTTTTACAGTGCCGAGGCGTGATTGCCGATGCTGTGCAGGTGCCTCTATCTCACCTGCAGCAGCATCGCAGGCCCCGCCTCGCCACAGTGATATATGATGATCCTTACAGTCATTCAACCTTCATAAGAAATGAAGAAAAACAATCACACAGCTGAAAACAAACCTCACCGTGATATCCCGGGCCACCGTCCTGCAGAGACAAGATCAGAGTATGAAGCACTGTTTCTGTTCATGCTGTACGTATTTTAACATCTCAAATCCAAATGCAAATAATGGGACTTAAATGAATTCACTGACTTACAGCAGGATGTGTGACAGCAGCCATAGATGGAGTCCTCAGCGGGGCAGGCGGGGGGGTGTACGGCCTGCACAGTAGTGATCGTATTGAAGAGGAATTAAAAACAACTGCAATGCTTCTACGTTAAACAAAAAAGATCCGCGTCCTCGTGTCTTACTGGGCGGTGATGTTGTCATGAGGGTGGCATCCACTTTCATCCTCTCCTCTGGGACAGTGGGGATTTCCATCACAACGCTTCCATGCCTCAATGCAGCCCCCTGGTGGGGGGCAGGAGAACTGACCAGCAGGGCAGCTACGTGGACTGGTGGCTGTAGTGGAAGGCTGCGTACCTGCACACAGTGAGTAGTTGTGCTCAGTCTATGTTTATTCTAAAATATTAAAGAGCAAACTTTGAGCTGTGGTGTGGACAGCTCACCACAGTGGGTCTCGTCCGAACTGTCCCCGCAATCATTGACGCCATCGCAGACTACGCCCAGAGGACCTGCTGGCACGCAGCGACCGTTCTCACATTGGAACTCTTTCTCTCTGCAGCCACCTGCTGGGGAGACTGGTGAGGGAGGACTGGGTGATGTTAACCAGCGAGAACCTGGTGATGAAAGTAAAGCCTGCATTTTAGAATCACACACACACACAAACCCAGTATGTAAGACCAGCATCCTTTCCACCAACCATCGCCGCAGCCCATGATCTCAAGGCGAAGATAGATGCCATTCTGGAAGTCATGGGGCAAGAGGCGGACAAACTGAGCCGACACGATCCTGTCCAGTCTGCTCTCCGTCACTCCTCGATCATCGTGATTACCGAGAAAAACCTGGGAGGAGAACA